GCTAAGGAATTTGTCTTAAGGCTCTACAGCTAGTAACAGGGGAGGAATCCAGAATTCTGTGGCCCAAAGCCCCAGTTCCCAATGGTGCAACTGTAGCAATAAGCAGAAGGAAATTTTTAGCACAAGTGTGTTAAATTTTATGTTTACCTCTTTGCTTCTTCCTTCTGCTGCTCTTTCCAACTACTTTCCATGTAACGTAAGGCATAATCACTTTCATCTTTGTATCTTGTAAGAGGAAATCAAAATGATAAAAAGAGAACAAAACTTTAATTTTCTAAAGAAACTACATCCTCTCATTTAAAAAATCAGTAACTCCTTTAAAACTAAATCAGGCACACATTTAGAATTACTCCTTGCTTGGCAGAGAGTGAGAGGAGTGGAGGATGGATTGAGGTAGGTTTCTTAAGTAAAGACAAGTTTTAGATGAGCCCTTATTAACCTCAGGGGGCAGCTATTCTGAAGCTAATGTTCATGAAGGTACCAAACCTACAATGCTTCCTCAATTCACTCACCTACATTTACTTGATAATTTATATTAAAATTGGAAACTACAGTATATATAAAAATTATTTTATATATAATAATCTAATTTGAGCTTCATGACCATGGTGGGAAAAGACTTTAGACCAGAGGAAACTGAAGCAGATTGGTTAACAGACTGACCAAGAACATAAGTTTTGTTCTTTCAAGAGCCAATCTACTTCTACTACACTAAACTGCTTCATTCTCACTAAATAAAGGATAACAATTTAAAAAGGTTATTTTTTGGTCTTCATGCAAATAACTACATAAACTATTTTGAATTAAATATAAAATATTTAGTGCTAAAAATTTATTTAAAATAATAATCACTCAAGGGTTCCTAATTAAGGATTGTATTCAGTGCCTCAACTATTTATTACCACCATGACATGAATTATTCAAAATAAAAAAGTGTGTCAAAGTTATCTGAATCTTCTTTAGTCTTACTTTTTTCGGTCATAACCAAAGATTTCTCTAATGTGCTTGGATATTTCTTCCTGAGGCTCTCCTTCATCTTCGATAAAATCTTCCATTTCAGAGTCATATTCATCATCGTCATCATCTTCCTCTTCATAGTCTCGCTGCCTTTTGTAACCAGTAGGGAAGGGAAGCCTTTGAGGACCTAAGAAACCATTATTTATAAGGATGTTAAAACTTAAAATAGTTCCAATGGAGTTCTATGTAAA